TCAACTATTCAAAAGTAATTAATAACCATCGATTTTCTTGCTCAGATAGGGAATCACGTCGTCGATGGGCAATCGGATCTGTTCCGTAGAATCCCGATCACGGATTGTCACACCAGCGTCGTCTTCGATAGTTTCAAAGTCTACCGTGATAGCAAAGGGGATGCCAACCTCGTCAGCACGGCGGTACCGCCTTCCCACAGCACCGGCGGCGTCGTACATGACGTTGTATCCGCGGGCTTGGAGCTTTTCGAACAAGTCGCGAGCTACTTCTACGAGAGCTGGCTTGTTTTTCAACAGCGGTAGTACCACGGCYTTGATAGGAGCGATGCGGGGATTGAACTTGAGGAARTTGCGCTTCTCTCCACCGACCTCGTCTTCGGCATAGGCAGAACAGATAACGGCCAGCATCAGGCGGTCGACACCCAGAGATGGTTCGATACAGTGGGGAATGTATCGTTCCTTGGTTTCTTCGTCATAGTATTCTCCAAGGTCTGTTTTCGTTTGTTTGATGAAAGAGATATTCATTAAATTCGTTTGATTGATTTGATTTGAAGAAGAAATAATCACGGTGAAAGCAAATAAAGAGTGAGAAGGAGTTGACACCGGGCAAATATGCTACAACCAAGCACTAGAAACAGCGCTATGCAATGCACGCGCATGCAGGCTTTGTTTCTTTCACGGATTTTCGTCAGAAGTGTACGCACTCTTTCCAGATCCCTCGGTATGTTGCGTCAAATCGTAGTTTCCACGGGCGGCGATTCCCATTAGCTCCTGGGTTCCAAAGGGGAATGTGAACGTAACATCGGTACAGGCACGGGCATAATGGGCAAGGCCGTCTCCCTCGTGGACATCCCATCCCATCAAGTCTTCCCGAAGGCCAATCTTGTCGACCAAAAAGTCTTTGGAGGAATCGATCCATTTCTGGTGATATTCGGGCCAAACGTCGTCGCCAGGGGGGATGAAGTATTCGACCTCCATTTGTTCGAATTCACGAGAACGGAAAATAAAGTTGCGGGGGGTGATCTCATTTCGGAAGGCCTTTCCCATCTGGGCGATTCCGAAGGGAATTTTTTGACGGGAGCTGTTGAGAACGTTCTTGAAGTTAATGAAAATACCCTGGGCGGTCTCGGGTCGAAGGTAGGCAATGTTCTCGCTGTCGACGGCAGCGCCGACGCGGGTTTCGAACATCAAATTGAAGTCACGGGGTTGCGTGAGGGTGGGCTTTCCAGAAGCCGGGGAGGGAATCTGCGCAAACTCCTCTTCGGTTGCCTCGACGAGTTCTTTGAAAGAGAAGGCCTCGATTCTGTTCCCCTTGAGGTCTTTTTCCTTCAAGAGTTTCTTCGACATGGTTTTGGCGGCCTTGACCATCTCATCATCGTTCCCTTCCTGGACGCAAACGTATCCAATTATGTTTTTGTCTTCGTCACCCTGAAGGATCACAGGGGAGAAGAAGAGCTGATCGGCGCGGTATCGCAATTTTGTTTCTTTGCAATCAACCATGGGGTCCGAAAATCCGTCCAAGTGGCCTGATTGGACAAACATAGAAGAGAGATTGTATTTGTGGTTTAAAAATTGAAAAAAATACATGAGTCGCAGTCGTGGCTTATCTCTGTCTGACATTGTCACATTGTGATAAATAGTATCTTCCTATCGTTTTTGATCGCGTCGGATCGCTGTTTGTAAGCTGTTCTGTCCGATTTTGTTTCGATTCGATTTTGCTGTTCCCATTACAGTCCAAAAATTCAAGGAAATCCCAATGCCTTAAACAAGTCAATGCTCTGTTCTAGGCTATAGAGCGCTGCATATGCACGTACCACTTGATTTCCAGGTAGTTGGGTTGTGAATGATAGAAGAATCTAATCCAACGACGTCCTCTCGCTGCGTGACAAAGTGGTTCCACCAGACGTCTTTGAGATTCTTTTTCAGCTCGGCACCCAGCGGACCGTAATCGAAAAATCCTGCGTACCCGTTGTAGATCTCGGAGGAGGGAAAGATAATTCCACGACGCTTGCACAGCGAGACGATTTCTTCCATGTCGGGGATTTCTTGTAGCGGCGCAGCAGTGGTTGCTTCGGCCGCTTCTTCGGTTGCGGCCGACGACAAGACGCGTGCGCCGGAGCGAGCGGCCACCGAACGGCTCCCGCTGCTAAAGGCAAAAGCTCTGGCAACATTCTGTCCGCAGAGAATCATCATTAGGGTGGTGGTTGAGAACTTCATTTGTATATGGATACGACGACTACCGAAAGGATATAGCAGTCAATTCTTTGTAGTGTTTGCTGTCTCTTTGTGTGAAACGTGTATGTTTGAATGAGTCGTTCCTTTCTTGTTTTCTATTTCTAGTGATCTTATGTCTGCACTGTTGTGGATCGGTAGGTTGTTACACAATCGAAGTTGCAAGGGAAAGTTGAATAATCTTTGCTGTAAGAGAACGGATACTTCGAAGATGTCGTGTCTGTCGATTCCCCACGACGAAATTCGATTGAAAAATCAACCCATCAGAGAAGAACGAAAAACAAACAAAAATTGAGGTTCATCATCAATTTGGTGTTGCGTTGACGAGTGACGAGTGACGACAAAAGTGAGTCACTAACCCATCTCTTGCTCTCCTCGTGTAATTAATGTTTGGCTGCGGACTTAGCCTACGCTACAGGTACTCGTACTGTTGTGAACCGTAATTCACTGTAGGCTACCATGGATGAAGTATGGAAAGACTACGTACCAGTACGTACAATAAGTACCSTACGTTTTGCAGAAAATGAAGCAACGGTAGTCTATTCGTACGGTACTTCCTACGTCACTGGGGAAACGGAACTCCAGCAAGAAAAACGTCTCGTGCAATTGATCAGTCATCTGCCTAGTCTGTCCATCATCCGCCACCTTGTACGGTTTCAACTCTAAAAAATCCTGGTTCAATTTTTTACTGCAAATGATAATGAACCCAAACCCTATGATTACAGAAATGTCGTATCGTACTAATCGTACTGGTATGTTGTAATACTATGTACGTACTCCTACTTCCGAAATTACAGACATGCATGCGAGTTCTTATGCAACGCTACCGTACCGTAATCCCAGAAACCGATTACGGGAGGAATAGCAGCAGTCTCCAACACAATATCTACGCCCTCCCATGTGACGAACGAGTTACTTGATGTTTCTTGTTTCTTTCGGTTCCCTGTCATCGCGAAGATAGGTTTGTGTTTTTGAATCTGCCCCGTAAGCTTCGCATCATCATTCTTTACTTCAACTGTATCGAAACGAAAAGTTGTTTCTGCATAGTTCACAAACGCAAGCAACAAGCATTTTCCCCATTCATCTTCTATTGAAACAGTTCTTCGGTTAGAGTTCATCGCTTTCACACAACACACAAAATGCTGTTTGCGGCTACGAATCACCACATTATCCGCCCGATATTGGTGGGATCTCGAGCAGCGCGGCAGCTATTTTGCCGAAACGCTAGGCCCAATCAGGCCGTTATGCTCACCCGTTCCTTCGCTTCCGCGGGCCCAGAMAACCCCACGAAACTGATCATCAATGCCGTTGGGACCGACCGCCTCGGGATCGTCCACGACATGACGAAGGAGGTTATCGATGCTGGCGGAAACGTAGGGGCATCCCAGGCGGCCCGACTGGGAAAATACTTTTCGCTGATGATGCTGGTGGAGGTTCCGGCCAGCGCCGTCGAACCTCTCGAGGAAAGCCTGCGGACTATGAAGGACCTATCTGCGAGCGTATGTGTAGCTAAGGACGACGATGACAGCGATAAAGTTGCTGAGACCGATTCCTCGGGTAACACGATTGGATACCAGGGGGCACTCAGCCTGGAGGTAAGACCTTGTTTTTGTTGTTATTTTTGTCAACTGTTTGGTAGTGCCCTTGCTGGCAACCATCGTATTGTATCACCTTGCCGCAGCTGTCTTTCATCGAGAGAGAACCAAACCGCACTAAAAACGATTTCCTTTTCTTGCTTTCGCCTGGTGGCTTCCTTTCCGTTCTTCTTCTGTAGGGAGCCGATCACCCCGGTATCGTCAACAAGGTGACAAAAATATTATCCTCCAACGGACTGAACATCGATTCGCTGGAAACTACGGACGAGCTGGCTCCCGGAGGAGGAACGGGTGAGTACACATCTGTTTGAAGTTTTCGGGATAGATACCAAATTAWTTCGAGAGAAACCACCGCTGCAGTTACCAAAATAAACTCACATACATTATATTCGATTATTTTATTGGTTGGCACCTTCCCTTGTATTCTTTGCCTTGTATGGATTTGTCGCACCTTGAATTGAATTTTGCCAAACAGTCCTCTTTCGCATGATTGGCATAACACACGCTTATGAACCCTTGTCTGCGGGATTCGACGTCGAAAAGATCAAGCAAGAACTCGAAGACCTAGGAAACGACCTCAATTGCGACATCGAATTGATTGACTTAGAGGAATGAACGAACAAAGATCCTCAGAATCGTGGTGCAACACCGTAGGTTTTTCTCGGGTGTAGGTTTGCTTTCCGCGACTGTTTTGAAAATGAAGGAGTCCCACATTTCACGAAGTGCGCTAATCTTTCATAACACAGGCAAGCATACGATCATCTCGTTTTGTTACATTTTTAGATTTTTCTATAGTACCAGCTACTGGGTTTTTGACATCTGCAACGCAGCAATGAAACAACCAATTCTCACGAAGAGAGGTAAAAGTTAGGATTGGACCATGCTTCCACGACCCTGTGCAGTATACTTGTGTCGTGTTATCCAATGGTCTTTTGTTCATGCGCGCATTCATTTGTTCTTCCATCCATTCACAGCCAAAACATTCCGTTATGGTCGACCCAGTGCCAAAGAACTCTCGCCTGAACCCTTGGCTACTACACATGGTTCATTCCATGTCCATTGGTTGCCTTGGCCTTGGCCACGGTGGTGCATCATAAGCGATTACTGCTTCTTTCCCAATAAATTTGGTGCACCTATTGACTAGACCGTTGGTACTGCCGTCGTCGYCGTGATGTTGCTTAAGCGAAATGCCATAACGTCGTGGGGAGGGACCATTCCCCCGATCGAGTCGATGGATACACCGAGATCGGCGTGCGCCCACAAATCGCGGACGTGGGCGCGGATCGATGCCCTCGGCGAACCGACGGCTTGGGCTTGGTTCCGGCGGAGGCGTCCACGGACATCGCGGTCGCTTGGAATCTCGGCGGCGGCATAGTAGGCACTGCCGCCGGTTCGATGCGGTTGGGCTCCGACCACGTCCTCAAAGCGCGCGACGATGTGCTGGGTTTTTCCCGAACGGTTGAACAAGACCACGGCCACGTCTCCCCCCGAGAGATCTCCCGCCCACACCTCGATGGGACCATCCTCGCTGGAGTCACCGACGGGTTCTGTGCCATCTGTCTCCGGCTTGCTTTCTCCCATCGAGGACCACCGCTTGTAGCCCTGGATGCCGAGGGGATCCTGGTTGATGGCGATGATTTCCTTGTTGGAAATAATGTCCCAGACGTCGCTCGAAATCGCTCGGAGATCGTTAGCCAGCAGGAGCGGTGCCTTCACCAGGCACCACAGCGTAAAATGGGCCYGCTGTTCGGGAATGGTCAAGCCGGCACCGCCTCCGGCATTGCTCCTGCTGCCTTCCATGGTAGTTCCCACCTGGAGCATATCGGGATCGTTCCATCCCCCCGGTCCCGCATAGGCATGCCAGCGATCGTTTTGGTCCAGGATGCTTGTCATCGACCCCCAATCGTTCCGAATGTCCCCGGTGGTCCTCCAGGAATTCCCGCCGACCGATCTGCCCCAGGTGGCCGGGTCTTTGTAGCCCCACTCGCAGAGGCTGAAAAAGATGGGTCTGGTGGAATTCGCGGTGGCCTCTTGCAGCGCGGTTTGCATGCGCTTGTAGCGGCTTTCCACCCTCCCGAGGCCGGTCGCGAAGCAGTTGTCATACTTGAGGTAATCAATCTTCCAGGCCGCGTACTGCGCGGCGTCCCTCGCCTCGTGGCCCAGCCCGCCCGGTCGCCGCTGGCAGGTCATCAGGCCGGAATCGCTGTAGAGGCCGAACTTCAGCCCCAGGTCGTGCACGGTTTCGGAGAGGGCGGCAATCCCCGAGGGGAAGCGCTCGGGGTCTTCCAGGATGTTGCCCTCCGAATCGCGGGATTTTTGCCAGCAGTCGTCCAGGTTGATGTATTCGTACCCCAGCTTGTGGAGGCCAGAATCGACCATTGAAGTGGCTATATCCTCGATGAGGCTCTCGTTGACGTTGCATCCAAATAGGTTCCAAGGGTTCCATCCCATCTGCGGGGTTTTGGCTGGAGCAAAGTCGTCTACTGTTGTGTTGTTGCTACCGCTAATGCTGAYGTTCTTGTAGTGCTTGGAATCGCTATATCCGCAGGCCGAGGCGGCAACGGAAAGGAAGAGGATTGCAGACGACATCATTTGTTGTTGTCCCAATTGGGTGTAGGTGGCTGAGCTGGTTGGTTCCGTCAATAATTACAACCTTTGTATTGTAGTATTCAAGCAAAATAAATGCGATTGCGATTGCGATTGCGATTATCTTTGTTTCTGTAGTTGTCTACCAAGAACTGTCCGAAAAGCATACTATCCTTGTTCTGGTCTACTCGATTCTTCTATGCTGTGCTCTTTCCGTCACGTCCGGGGATCGAGTCTGGATGCTATGATTGGAATCCGCTGGAAGAACTAGGCTCTATCGCATTGCATCACAGCGTGGTATGATGCGATTCGATTCGATAAGACCTMCTACCGTATCACCCAGGAGATGGTATGTACCGTATTCCCTCGGTAAGGAAAGTTACTAATCGTAACGGACGAAGAGGAATTTGCGACATGATTTCCAAGAATTTCCGATTTCCATCCTTCCGCATGTCGCAGACATCAGTTTTGGTGGCGCGCCATAGTACTTCTAGTACTGTAATTCTACGTAATACCTCTGTTCCAAATAAGTGTCAAGTTTGCACCTCTGGAGTCAACTTCGTAGGAAAAAACTGAAAAGCCAAGATACCTACCGGTATGTACTGGCTTCGACCAAGGACTTCCAGTATTCGAACTTCAAACACCCCTTTTAAATTACTGTATTACCGTACGTACGGTACTACTTTACCCCTGATTGGCCAGGTGATGCACGTCACTTCGGGAATCCACAAAAAATCAGTTTCTCCCAAAATTGATTGATGTGACGACGACAATAATGTTGGCCCTCCAGTCCTATGACCAGTCCATAACCGACACACGGTTAGGATTAGCTAATAGACCAGAGATTAGATGAGTTAATAAGCTAATTCA